GGAAAGAGCAGTTCTGGAAGAGATTCTGACCATTTGGGGAGAGCAGGGGGAAGTGCAGGGGACATTCAATGAGATGGTGTACATAAAACACTTAACATAATGCCTAGCATGTAACGAGAGCTCTGCAAACGTGTCGCTATTATTATTTTAGTTATTCACACTTTCATTATTGTGATGTTTTAAAAAGGGGGGGAAGGTGCTGAGATATGTTTTCCTAAGCTCAAGCAAACACAGCATGTGAAAGGCAAATGCCTTCCAGTTTTCCTTCTGGCTTTCTCCATTGCCCCCTCACCCACTACCCTGATCACTGATGTATTCAAATTCATGCAATGAAAAGCATGCTATAAAAACGTGTGGCAGTGTGAATGGCGAATAACTCCGGCTCTCACCCTTTCACACTCCAATCTAGACGTAAGTGTGAGATAGCATTGTCTTTCAATAATATGCCTCAAGCACTTTTTTACCACTCACATTTCACAGTGATTAAGGACCCCTCCTGTCTGGCAAGGATTCATCCAGTAACATTCTACCTACCTTGGCACACCAAGCTTTGGGTTTGTGGGTTTTTTTTTTTTTTTCCTTTCTTCTAATTTTAGCTATTAAATGTGTTACTCCTCCTAGGTAACAGAATGCCTGAAGCCAATTAATATGCATACATCTGCAGTTGGTTTTGAGAGACATTAATGGTAAGAACTGCAGTGGTGGCAGGTATTTTCAATGCCCCTTAAATTCAATTTTAAACTTATGCCTCACCCTGTGTGCTGAGATAAAGGATAATCTTTAAACTTTGCACCTCTCTCCACTAACAAACAGGCACTTCTAGTGGTTTCACTACCTACACCAGCAAAATAACCCACCATTGTTGCCTGACAAACATAAAATTATACATATATATACACACATACATATATATATATTTATCATGTATTTATTTGAGAGCAATATATATCATTTTTATATATAGTTTATTTATTTATTTACTTGAAAGAGAGAGGACCCCAACAGGGTCCTGTCATACCACATCCTCCACCCTCTCCCAGTCTTCCAGTCAGCCAGGATCATGGCTTCACCTATGAGTGTGCCCGCATGTTCAGGTCGACTGAGGTTCTGCACCCTGGACCTCCCATATGGCTCCATTATGACACAGCAGAGACTACTACCTACACCCTACTAAATTTTAAGTAGGACTGTCTTTTGCAAACCCAGCATCAATACAAACTAAATTTTAGAATTAATAAAAGCAATAAAAGATGAAAGGATTGAACATTAGACTCGACAGGGTTATGGATGCGATAGCAATGTCTTGATTCTTAGAAGATTATTCTTATACTTTTCTAATTTTATTAGGTTATGTATTGATGAAGTAATCTAACAACCCTGTAGTGATACAGTGTGTGTCTAAGTTCTGCTCTCAATATTTTCTAATAAATATAAAATATACCATTTCTATTTGAATTGTCTCCCACTTATAAGTTCTGGCTATTTTCCAATACCTCCCTAACGAAACAAATGGATATAAAATTATTTCATCTAGTAGAAATTTCATATGGATAGTGATCTTTTCTGGTTTAGTAAAAATGTCAAGTCATGTCCATGTCTACACTAGAGATTTGTTATTGTAAAAACCAAAGCATGTTAGTGACTATCAAAAACTATTACAAAACTATCCCTACAATCCCTTGTATATACTTTTATTGTAACAATTAATGCAATTAATGCATCAAGTTTTTTTGTTTGTTTGTTTTTGTTTTTGTTTTGGACTTGTCCCCACCTAAGTTGGTTACGAGTCATTCAAGGACAAGGGTTTATTTCCTTTTTTTAATGCTCCTAGTGCCTCATGAAAGTGAGCAAGTAGCATATGTTCAGTAAATGTTTAAAGAGTGAATGAGTAAATACATAGCCAAAAATAAATTTATGTTGGTAACATGTTGACTTTGAAAAAGACTCCCAAGTACCATGATACTTGGCACTCCTTACAGATGACGAAGTCAATAGATACTATGTTTTTTTAAGATTTTTTGTGTGTGATCATCTAAAAATGGGAATTGAGATGAAACAGGCAAAGCGGGTTTCGGCAGATAGTTTTTATCCCCTTGGAAACACGTAACTAAGCCCATTCTGATTTTTCTGGTTCAGTAATAAAAGAGTTTGGACTCGAAGCATATTATTATTCAAAGGACAGTTTCATGCTGGCCAAACGAATCCACCAGAATAATGTTCTAATTTATTAAACTTTCTGTCTAACTAGAATGAAATAGTTGGTTTAATAGTAGTGAGAACTCTCTTTGTCTTCAAAAGAATAATCCAAAAAGTGTAAAGGACCGGCACTAGGATCTTACCCCCAACGCTTCTACAGGGTATTGAATGAGAGAGACCAGTAAGAAGTCAGTTCTGTTTTCACAGATAGGAATTTGGACAATGGGGGGGGGGGAGTGTAGAGGAGGGAAGATTAAACCATGAAGATCTCAGTTCCAATCACAACTACACTGA